TGGGTTGAAGGTTGGGCTCGATGATCTCAAAGGGCTTTTCCAACCAAAGTGATTCCATGATTCTATTCTATGAAGCCTCGCCGGCTCGTTTAGCAGCAAAGCTTTGCCTTGAGGCTCCTTGTTCGCCTCGGCAGAGCCCAAGGGAAAACTCTCCTCCGTGGTTTTTTCTTCTTTTTGCCTTCAGGAGATGTGCAAGGCGGCTACCGAATCGCTCTGCCCCGGCTCCCCCAGCGTTCAAGCCGAGCTGCGCCGCAATGCCAACAGCGGTAAGCGCGGCCGGGAGGTTTCTGGGAGATGAAATCCCCTCGCCTGATTGACGAGGTGAATTAATTATCTTAAAAACCAAGGGCTCAGACAACGGCTGCCTTCCCCATCATCCCAGGGAAGGACTGCTCTTTAGTTTAGCCGACAAGACGGATGCTTGTTGCGCTCGCCGAAGCCCCTCAGGTCTTAAAACCTCTCCCTCACCGCGCCGTCCTCCCCTTCCAGCCGCCAGCCGGATGATCGCCAACAGCTTGAGCAGAGACTCGCCTCCCGCCACCCCGCTCCGACAGCGGCCCCACGCCTCCAAAATCTCCGTCACCGTCTCCAACAAACTGGCCGCTGCAAAGGCAGGTAGGGAGGGCGATGGATCCCAGTGGAAACGATGCCAAAAGTTGCTTTTTTTTCCATTCCGTTTCCCGTTAAAGACACCGCCACCCTGCCCTGGCTGAATTTTAAGAGCCGCTTTGGGTCCAGCTGCAGGGTTTTTGAGGTAATTGCACGACATCCTCGTCTCAGAAATGGGGAGATGCGGATTTGAGGGGTGGACCCCTCCGTGGGGAAGGAATCGGCTGGATGGTCGCACCCCGGCTCAATGTCTGGAGACCGGTGAGGCGTGGGGTCCCTTAAGGGGTCCGGACTGGGACCAGTATGATTTAACATCTTTGCCGGGATCGAGTGCACCCGCAGCCAGTTTGGGAGTGACCTCAAGCTGAGGGGGGGGGGCAGTTGATGCTCCCGAGGGAAGGGATCCATCCAGAGGAACCGTGGCAGGCTGGAGAGGGGAGGCTCCTGCCAACCTCCCGAAGTTCAGCAAGGCCGAGATTTCCATCAGAAATTCTCGACTGTGAGGGCGGGGGGACGTGGGAACGGGCTGCCCAGAGGAGCAGGGACTCCCCCCCCCTGCCCTTGGGAGCGTTCAAGGCCGGGTAGGACAGGGCTGGGAGCAACCCGTTCCCGTGGGAGATGCCCCTGCCCCCGCGGCAGGGCGTGGATGGTCTTTAAGGTTGCTGCCAGCCCAAACGATTCCGTGATTTTTGTGGTTGGGAGTAGCTGGAGACAGGGTGGGGGGCTGTTTGCAGCATCCCAGCGCTACGGGAGATCTGTTGGCCTTGAAGCCGCCGGTCTCGGAGCTCGCTCAAGATGGGGATTGTGCCCAAGCGCTCCTAAAACCCTTCCCACCCCCTCGGTCTTCATAGAATCATAGAACCATAGAATGTTTTGGGTGGGGAGGGACCCCCAGAGGTCCCCCAGCCCAACCCCCCCGCAGGAGCAGGGACATCTCCAACCACATCAGGTTGCTCACAGCCCCGGCCAACCTGGCCTGGAATG